CCCCCCCCCCCCCCCGGGCGTTGAAAACCGATCCGTTCTCTACCGACCAAGTGTGCCGACGGCATGTGTTTTCTTGTACTAAAAGGACAGTATTATTCGGTAAACGAAACGTCCCTTGCTCAGGAACTGTGATTACAATGGAAGTGGTTATGACATCACAATAAGGCCTATCCTGGATTCACAGGCACGTTACTTAATTGCTCGATCACTGCTCTACTACACCAGTCAGGCTGAACGAGTTTTCGATTGGGTTGTCAACATTCGGAGCGTGCAAAGTCAACTTGAAAACTCTAATGATTATTGATTGATTGGAACTGATCTTCCTTCATATTTCATCTTCGAGCACATTCCTCAACTCTTCCAATCAACTATACAATGGGAAGCACTAGACTGAAGTTTAGAGCTCATCAGTAGTACATATTCACCGTCCCGTTCGGGCTTCAAACTCCGGACCTATCGCACGGAAGGTGTGTGTGTGTATTACCACTTTACCAACCAGCTCATGCCAGAGCTGAAAAGAATTGCGAATTCATTTTTGTTTCGGGTGCCATCTTCAGAGATTGTCAGTTCAAATTGACCCGACAGTAACAAAAGGAGACACACAGTTGACTACTATCTGTTAACTGCAATCGAAAGGCTTCCACCAAGTCAGGTTTTCCATGCAGGTCAACTTTTTGTCTCCCTTCGTTACTATCGGGCCAGTTTGAACTGACTGACTATCTTTGAACACAACACCCGGAACAAACATGAATGGGCAATTCCATTCAGCCCCGGGTATGAGCTGGTTGGCCCAGTGGTGTAACACACGCCTTCCATACCCGTTTGGTCCGGATTTCAAGTCCCAGACGGAATAATAACAATTGTAAGAGTGAGAGTGAGAGAGTGAGAGTGAGAGTAGTGCTTTGTATTGCATGGTTGATTGGAAGAACTAAAGGTTGTTTGTGAAGATGGAGTCGGGAGGGTGGTCAGTTCTAATCCATCAAAAAAACAATGACCTCACAACACTACTCGCAAGTAAGTCACGGTAGGTAAAATGTGAACTCTAATGATTCTCTGTACGACAGAATGTCCGTTCAGTCCGTGAACAAATTTTCTACGATAGTATCGCAACACGATGATCCCCAATAAGGCTAATATTATTTGTGAATCAATTAACTATTCATTTGTGGATACGGATTGCTTTGGTAATCCTCCGAGAAAACAGGTGATTCGTCTGTAGACAGAACATTGGTCGCCCATTGCACGTTTTTCACTTTAAAATTAACCAATACTGATTACATCTATTTACAGCAGTACCCGATTTAGATGGCGCGTTTTTCATGTGTGTGTGATCTTATCATTGTAATTGTTCTCCGTCGAGGGTGTTTGTGTTCAGGGGGCGGGTATAATGTGTATATATATAACACGTGTGTGTGTGTGTATGTGATATTCACATGTCTGTGATTTCGAGGTGCCTGTCATACACGTGGTCGACTGATACATTCATTCATTACACACTGATTTTGCTGTTTATAGAACAGTTCGTATTGATCCGGTAAACATCGATAATCAGGTTCGTAGTATCTCTCCCTCAATCTCTCTCTTTGTATGTGTGATTAGGTAATCCGGATACGATTTTGTAATGAGTGTAAATCTTCACGTTGTACAGGGAAGACCGTTAAATGCAATGATTCATCAAGGTGTAAACGTTTATTGATCTGCATTGGAATGCCGTGTGAAGACTGCATTCCACTGCAATCCGGTATCGCATCCGGATAACCTTACCTGTCAGGGTATCCTCAAGTCAGGTTGTGTGGCTCTATTCCTTGGGTATTTGAAGTCAGAGATTTCTGTCTAATCCAATTTATCCATCCAGTTTCAGTTTTCACAACCATTAACTTCCGACTGTCGTGTGATCATTTTGGTTGCTGTCAACCTACTCTTGGCCAATGAGTTGATCGGATTCTTCTCCTGATATTAATTTTTCTGTTGTCCGTCTTTGATTACCTACTGTTTTACCGTGTTTTTGGATGATGAATCCATTGTTTCACTTGTATACCAACCAACTAATCACATATTTTTTAAAATCAAATTCTGTCCTCCCTCTCTCTCACCGACTCTCCACTGCCGCAGAAACTGCGCAATGGACCACTGACGAAATCTTGCAATTCCAGCATGGTCTGACCATGTACGGTCGCGATTTTCACTTGGTTGCTCGGACTTTACAAGCCAACGGGATGAATAAGTCTGTCAAGGCCTGTGTCGAATTCTACTACGTGTGGAAACGAATGAATACACCTACGGATGTCAAATGGTCAGTTTTATGTTGCCGTTTTTGTCCCACTGCGGTTTGTTGTTCTCCGTTAGTGTGCAAGCCTTTGAGGGAAGAAACTTTAACTAGCACACGTTCTTTTTACCTCCGTTCTATTGAATATACAAAAATATGATTTTCGGGAAGCGGGAGAAGCGATCAATCAAACGGCTGTCATAGAATACACTATAGAGAAAGTCGGGCGGTGGTGGTGGTAATTTTTTTGACGCTATCAGTGGGTCCCTACCACCACCACCACGTAATCAAAAGTCAAGCAAAATGACACGAGTGGAATGTTTTATGCGAATATTCACTTCGCATCTAACCGATAGATAGATAGATAGATAGATAGATAGATAGATAGATAGATAGATA